CCATACCAACTTAAGGTCAAAATGCAACCTCGATATTGTAGGTTAGTAAATGCAGAAGTTTTGCAGTTTGCCACTTTTAAGTTTGTTTTTACTTCAAACTTAGCTAAACACTTAATTTTAGGTGGAATTTTTCTCTGCTTTGGCTGTCAAAGTTGCTAGGACTTGAAACTGCCGTGCTAATTTGATTTTAATAAGTAAAAGATAACACCTCAAAATGACCTACAAAGGCGCAGAAAACTGTTAATTCGAATGCGTTTTGCAAATTTTGACTCTGTTGTTGATTTAGCTTTCACCGCACTAGTGTGGTTGGATATGTTAAGAACCACTGGCCAAATCTGGTAGCATTGCGGTATACTTTGCATTAGTTTAATAACCAAAATTCAAATAAGAGAAATAAGGATGTATTGGGAGGTAAATTTGTGTCAAGTTTTCAGTCCCCTGCTTTTGGGCTAATATTCCTGCTTGTTTTGTGCTGAATTGTATTTCTTTAACACTTCTGTTGTTTACCCTATATGTAATCGTTTGGTTAATACGTGTGAGACCTCAATGGAAATAGCACAGAAATCACTCTTGAAATTCCTCTAAGTCCATTTCAATGAAGAAGCAGGACAAATCCAAATTTTTTTGCTAGTGGATCTCTGCTTTCTCACATGCCACACTGCATTCGACAAACACACGGGAAGCTAGAATGCAGGCATATTTGTTAGTACAGCAAAGTCATCAAGGCCTCCTTTGCATTGTTTGCCGTGCTGAGTGTGATCGACTCTCCAGAATCGCTGATTGCTATGGAATACCTTCTCTATCTTCTCCACAGATGAGTTATATTTGGCCTCCTGCATCAAGAGTAATTTCACGAGCTGAATAGTTTTGCACTGCTATTCCTGCAGTTGTTCTGGACTGCGAATCACCTCTCTAAACGTGGAGGTGGGTGATCCCATGACTGACTGCAGACGTTCGCACATCATGTAATCCCTGTGCATCGTAAATGAAAGAGGATTGCAAATTTCACCTCGACCAATCCATTTTACATTTGGTCAGGCCTCACTCTAAGAAATAGTGCCCTTTGCCATTCGCGTGGGAAGCAGAACAACACGCCGAGAATCTGGACAAGCAGCTAATTACAATTTTTGCAGGCGTACACTCTCATCAGCTATAAAACAGTAGTCTGTGTTACACATAACTGGCCGAGTGCCTTTATTCTCTACCACTTCTACCACCGTCCTGGCGATGTGCCAAGTGACCAGCTGATTACGGCTGGTGAAAGTTGCGTATACACATATTTAGCCATTGGGAGAGGGTAAATTAATGAAACAAGGTGTGAATGGTGCGCTGTAGCTGTACCAGCTGCTGTTGGCACTAGTCATTATTTTCACAAAATTATTTTATTTTCGAGAAATGACGACGTGATGTATAATGTCAAAAAAGGGTTGTTTTGATTCTGCATTGTTGTAAGAACCTAAAAAGTGCCTTAATGAGTAAATAACGCCAACACAGCTATTCAATTCGGTCCCAGGCCTCGCACTCTAAAGTCTGCTACTGAAGTAATTAAGTTGACACTGCAAAAA